AAAATCACGATTTAACGGTTATTTTAACTCCGATTTTGATGATTTTTTATAACTACACTCCTTGATCCTATATGAATACAATGAATGAATTCGATCTTCAATTTAAAATATTTACACAAGTGGACACCACAAAATCTTATGTTATACTTAATGAAAGTATAAATAAACTCTAAGTGTTAGTCAATCTATCGTTTTGATGGGATACGAATTCTCCAAAACTAATTTCAACGATCCAAACCGTCAAAATTGTTTGTATATGCTTGGAGATCACATCAGCAAAAAATCACAAAAAAAAAAAAACATTCAGAGATCAAGTAACGGGACAAAGCTTTTCGACGGTTATAAACGAAAAATCAAGATTTAACGGTTATTTTAACTCTGATTTTGATGAATTTTTACAGCTACACTCCTTGACCCTATATGAATACAAAGAATGAATTTGATCTTCAATTTAAAATATTTACACTAGTGGATGTGGATATCACAAAATCTTATGTTATAATTTATATACTTAATAAAAGTATGAATCAACTATAATATTAATAATTATATACATTAATTTAATAATTTTATATCCCTAAAAAGTAAAAACTATAATAATTATATATATTAAATTAAATTTAAAAATTGATGACCATTGGATCGGCTGAGATTAAAAATTGATGACCATTGGATCGGCTGAGATTAAATTTAAAAATAGCTTTGTTGTGCACACGAGATTGGCTATTTGGAAAAGGAGGTAATATATTTTTATATGGTATAGTATTATTATTTTATTTCTTTTCATAATTATTTTGTTTAACTTTTCATAATTGAATGATTTTTAATGTTTGCTTTTTCTATACTTAGTTTATGCGGAAGAGAGTTCTAACGTGGAAAAGCTTACTGAAAACATCTTCAACATAACTCTTGAAGGCAATAGATCAAGCCAAAGTTCCAATACAATTTCATGATGATCGATGTAAATTGAAGATTTTGTAAATGGAGGTGTAAACTTTTGAGAAAGACTTGCAATCTTAAAAACAAAAACTCTTTATCCTTGCACATTTAATATTTGTAATAGATTAGTAGTGTATGTATTATTTTTTTATTAGGCTTTTATTTTCGAGTGTAGATATAGTACTTGAACGAGAAATGTTTTAATGTTTTGAAGTAATATTTATGTGGCAATGTGTGGTATGTGCAAATTTTAAAAAAATATATTTTTTTCTTAACGGGTCATAACGGGTCGGGTCACTTTACCCGTTGGGTAAAGTGACACGACCTGGTAAGGACCCGTTAAGATAACGGGTGTGACATGACACGACCCGTTAAGATAACATGTGTTACACGAAAACGACACGAACACGATAGACACGACCCGTTTGCCAGGCCTAGATAAGATAAGACTGGATAAGCTAGGATAAGGTTGGATAAGATCTCCTTGTTTTCAGCTGATTCCTTGTCTTCCAAGCCTTAATTTAATTCTTCCAGATTTGTAGCAAATTTTTAGCGTTATTTGTCACCAAAAATGTCCATCCATTATGCTCCATACAAATGCTATCCAATCCAAGTCCAAAACTGCTCCAAATTGCTCCTTTTGGCCATTTATTGTCATCTTCACCAATTGAACCTACAATAATACGAAAATAAACTGTCACTATAATAAATGGAAATTAACTAAGTAAATGCAAAGAAATAAGATAATAAAGTCACATAAATATGCTCCTATCAATCTGCTCACAACGTCAAGAATAAAGTTGTCATATTAAGCTAAAATTCCATGCGTCATTCTCCTATTCAATGTGATTAATTTATGTCTCCACTAAAAACTATATATCAACATGGATGCTTGTAGTTAATAAAGAGGATTTGGGGCCGTAGATCCGATTCAAGAAGCAAGAAAAGCCTGTGGAAGAAGACCTAGGAGAGAGACGATGGCGACATCATACAGATGTGAGAGCGCCATTTGAAATGGCGATATGGAGGACATAGTTGCAATGAGATGAGAGAAATGATGGATCCGATCGGAAACTCGCTCCGCTGCAAGATCTTCTCGTAACCCTTGCTTCTGTCATTGTCTCGCCAGAGAAGTGCAATCAATCAATGACCATAACGTGAAAAGAAAACTAAATAATATGAACTTTACACAATTTGGAAATGTAAAAAGGTAAATCAAATCATACATGTAAGTGTAAAACAAGGCCAAACGCGTCACTTTAACAGTGACAGGGTTGAAACAAAGAGTGTTGTGTTTTAAACTAAGCTTTCTCAGGCTATGTTTATGGGTTGATTCCTTGAGAAAGGATTAGTTGGTATGGTACTTCAACTAAGAACCATGCTAGGAGTACCAAAACAATAAAACATAGGGGAAAGGCTTATGAAAGAAGGGTCGAAGTTTCCCAAATCTAGACAAAACTTGTGTTTTTTTAAAAAGAGGTATTTGTTGATTTTCATCTTGAATTTATAAGGCCCTGCCCATTTCTCCTTAAACTTTAAATTTAGTCGATTATCCCTCATTAAACCAAGTGTAGAACAAAACAAATGTACCATCTGATATGAGAAGTCTGTCTCTCTAAAATCCATTGCACACCCTCTCATTATAATATGCAATAAGATTCTATCCGGATCCTCTTTGTGAGGATTTTGAGAATCACTTCATCATTTTCATTCATCTGTCATTATACGGCCATAATCATTTTGAATTTTTTTTATTTAAAATTGAACACAAACAGTGCCTGACGAAAATTAGCCGCATAATGTACGATGAAAAAACATAATGAAGTGATCCCCGAAATCCTCAAAAAGAGGATCCGAAGAAGATTCTTATCCTTATAATATCTCCCGTTTAGAAGAGGAAAGTTAATCAAATTTTATCTTAGGTGACATGTATATGCGCCTGGAAATGCCCCAAACACAATTCACTAACAACAAAACCAGCAAGCTAACACAAACAAAAACATTCAACATTCAACAATGCAAAACACCCTTTCTTTGTTTCTTCTTTGTTGTTGTCGGCCTCGATCACAGGCGGCCCAACGCAATCCCACAGTGAAATGCCCAATGCTCTTGCCAACCACAAACCACCCATGTCCAAGGACACCCACTCGCAACTACACATCCCTATCAACCCACCAACCAAATCATCCAAAAATATACTTAATTTTGCCTTGACAATGTCACATTTATTATATAAATAACATACATGTTTTTATTTTTTTCCTCATAAAAAATAAGAATATGTTAGGATCATAGAATAAAAGATAACATCAAGTATCTAAAATTTTGGATACGTATTTTGGTATATTGGTTGTTCAACTTATCCTTCGGTTCTTGATATTGTGGGCACATTCAATGGTTTAAGAATAAGCCTTTAATCTTTTAATATAAGAGTTGTTTAGGAGTGCTAATGCATGCAATTTTATCCCTAGTTTAAATTATGGGTTATATTTGCTCAAATTTTAATGTTTTAACTAAAAAAAAAAACTTATTTTAAGCGCAACCATTGGAGAATAATTGAGTTAGTTTAAAACCTAAAATTCTAAGGGTTGAAGATGGTCTTAGTGTAAATAATATTATTTGTTAAAAAAAATTTGAACTCCCTTTGAGCACTAGCCCAAAAAAATCCCCTAGGGGATAGTCAATTAAATCCATTTCCCCACCTAAAAACCCTTCAAGCTGCCCACTCCCTCTTAAGGTAGATAATATCGTTTATTAAAAAACAAAATATTCACTGGGCTCCCTGTGGTTCCTCCAGGAATCAACAGGGCCAGCCCCTAGGCCATGTGACACAAAGCTGACAGCCACAAATAAAAAAATAATAATAAATTATATAAAAATAATTAAAAATACAAAAAATTAAATATATGTATTTTTTTTTCTATAAATACCTAACCATGTTTTTCCACCTAACACCATATTTCAATATTTTCAAATACTTTCAACCAATCTTTTATTATTATTCGAAATTAAAAATAAAATTATCTTGTACTAAATCATAGTAATATTTTTATACCAACATTCTAGGCTATTCAGTTTAGATGCAGAAATGCACTTATGTAGTTACTGTTCATTAAAAATAGTTACGGTTCACTTGAACGAATTGAATTACCTCCAGTCTACAGAGTATTTAAGTGGGAATTGCTCTTATAAAAATAATACTAAAAATGGAAAGAACTGGACCATTGGTATTCCCCAAGGGGCGACGTAATATCCTGCTTTTCACCTCGATTGGACCGGTTACGACTCGTTTCGGACTCTTTTCGACTTAAGATTTGTCTCCCCTGTTTTTCTCCGCATTGCGGGCGCGGCTATTTGTACGCAGGTGGCACGTACGGTCAAAACCTACGCCCTCCCTCCCACTCCAACCGCCAAACGCTCAAACCTTCCTCCTCCTTCCTCTCTTTCTGTAGCTCAGCCATGTTTGTTTAATTCTGCGCTTCAGATCAATGTCAAGCTTCCACCTTGTTCGAGTAAGACGGTGAGTGTTCTTCCTACTGTAACTGTATGTATGCTTGTGTTAGTGTATTGTTGTTTGAATCTGAGGGCTGTTTGGTTGGTAAGAAAATGTTGTAATTCTTATGTTTTGGACCCGGGAAATTATCACTTTCTTTATTTGATTTTTGGGTATTTACTGTCTTAAAGAGCAACCAAATGAAGGGTTAGAGCCATGACTGTTTTATATTTGTGTATGGTTTTACTATTGAGCTAAGATATATTATAGGATTTAGGGTTGATTCAATGAAATTTCTGTGTTTTTTGGGGGTCAAGAAATTGTGATTTTGTTTTGTGTTTAACAATATAATATAGTTGTACTTCTTGTTTTGGGACAGGAAAGGGATCTACTGAGGTTTCTGTTTAGGGTTAGTTTCTCACTTTGCGGTGTATGTGCTTAAATGGGGGGTGAGATAGTGTCTGGGTCCTGGTTTGGTAGTTTGAGGTTCTCATGGAGTCGTTTGGCGGAGGCTGACAAGCCGGTGATTGGAATTCTGGCATTTGAAGTTGCGGGGTTGATGTTAAAGATGGTTAATTTATGGAATAGTGTGAGTGAGAATGAGATGCTTAGGTTGAGGGAAGAGATTGTTAACTTGATTGGGGTCAGAAGGCTCGTGTCTGACAACGATGATTACTTGATGGAACTTGCACTGAATGAGATAATTGAGGATTTGGGATATCTGGCAATGTCTGTCGTCAGGCTTGGGAAGAAGTGCACTGACCCTGTGTATCACCGTTTTGAAGAAATTTTTGAGGACCCTGTCGAGAATGGTTTTCGGTGGCTTGGATGGGCTTACAGGTGGAGCAAAATGGAGAGGAAAGTGAAGAAAATGGAGAAATTTGTTGAGGCTACAATGCAATTATCGCAGGAGCTGGAAGTGCTGGCAGAGCTTGAGCAAACTCTGAGGAGAATGCGCGCTAATCCTGAAGTAAATCGGGTAAAATTGCTTGAGTTTCAACAGAAGGTAATGTGGCGGCGTCAAGAAGTGAAAATTTTACAAGATATGTCTCCTTGGAGTAGAACGTATGATTACATTGTCCGACTTTTGGCAAGATCCCTTTTTACAATGTTAGAGAGAATAAAGCTGGTCTTTGGATTTAATCAAATGGCTTTGGGAGAGGGAATGGATAGCTCTGAAGTTATCAATTCTGTTTGTCTATCCCGCAGTCATTCATTTTCTGCTCTTATGCACTCTTCTGTTCATCCATCTGATGGTAATCCATGTGGGTTCTATTCTGGACCTCTTGGGAGGTCGCTTACAAAGCCAAGGCTTAATGCTGGCAAGAATAGAACAAACAAGCAGCAGCAAGCTCATCACCAGTCATCCATCCAACATGGAAGTTATTCCCATCTAAAACCCAGACGGTTTGCTCATGTTCGGTCTTTTAAAGAATTTGTGACGGGTGGAAGCAATTCTCCTGTTCTTGAGAGCTGCAAGCCAGATATGGGTGGTTCCATGAGGTTGAGAATTACTGGTATCAAACATTTTGATAACTTAAAGTACACACATATGGGATCTCAATCTTTCAGCCATGGCATCTATTCTAAACTGTCCCTGTTTAGTTCAAAATGCACACTATTGAATGCTCCACCATCTACCCTTGGCGATGCTGCTCTAGCTCTCCATTACGCATATTTGATAGTTTTGATTGAAAAGATAGCTTCATCACCTCACTTGATCAGCCTTGACGTAAGATCTGATCTTTACAATATGTTGACCACAACCATAAGAGCTGCTCTGAGATCTAGACTAAAGTCATATGCCAAAACCATGGGCTCATCTGTGTATAATCCTGCCCTTGTAGGAGAGTGGAATCGAGCAATGGAGCACATCTTGGGATGGCTTGCTCCACTTGCCCATAACATGATACGGTGGCATTCTGACCGCAATATTGTGAAGCAGCAGGAAGTTTCCAAGACAAATGTGCTTCTGGTCCAGACCCTTTACTTTGCAAGTCAGGCTAAAACTGAAGATGCAATTACAGAGCTTCTCATTGGTCTGAACTATATGTGCATGGTTGACGAACTTAATAGGAAGGCTATGCGAGACACTGGTGGCAGCTGGCCATACGATGATTATATGCTCAAGCGGGATGAAATTGCTTAACAAATTCTGCAGATGGCATTAGCGGATTTTGGACTTGCACAGGTCTATAAGATGGAGATGTTCATCAATAAAGTGGTTTAGAGAAGCATGAGTTACTAGACAACACTTCCAAGAAGTAGTTTTAAGTGATCAGAAATCGAATTACTCCACTCTTAAGATGTTTAACGCATCAAATTAACACGTTTCGCTTCTGTTTTTCTGTTTAGTTTTTCTTCAAAGGAACTCAATGTTTCTTTCGTTTGTTCATATGTTGGATGGAATGGTGGCCTATGGTCAGTTTCTTGTAAAGCTTATCTTGTAATACGAAACTCAGTGGCATCACGGATTGGTATATTTGCACCGATCTTTTGACATATCCGTAGCTACATTCATTTAATCAGATTGATTGCTTCTTTTTATTTATTTTCTCCTCTTTTTGTCCTCTGTTTTTCGGAAGGGTAAATGATTGCAGCACTCCCTTTGACCTCCTGCACTCCTAATTTTATCAATTGATTCTCATTTGATCTATTCAATCTAATGACCACAAAAAAAGGGGAGTCAAAGAAGTGAAAAGGCGGAAATCACTCCTCTTTTGGTAATAGTATCAATGAATTATGTTCTTCATATGTATCAACGGTCAGAAATTGACTATGTGCTGATCATGTTGTCCCTATTGTTTGGGCCCTTATCATACCAACTACAAGAAAAAATTCAGATGATTAACTTTTTCTTATGTAAATTTTTAATCAAAAACCATGCGTAATCAATCGATTGATCTTCTTTTTCTACACAATGATTCTTCAGTAATGCCATACAACTTACTTCTTTAAGACTTCCCACCCCACCCCACCAAAAACCCAAAAAATAAATAAATAAATAAATAAATAAATAAAATAAACTTATAGCTAGCGTTGTTGTAGCACATAGTTGAGCAACAATTTGACATAATACTATTAGCATTATCGTTTGAATCATCAAATTCATTCACCAAATTTGTTTACAAATTAGGTGGGGCAATGCTTGTGTCAGTATTTTACGTAATTTGAATCAATGAAACAATGTCACATTATTCAATGAATACATTTGACATTCAGTATGATATTTCAATATTAAACAAGTCGATTAAGATCACTCATTCAAGAACACCAAATTGTTGTCTAGCAACAATCATAGTTTCTCTATTAACATTTGCATCCCCAACTTCCTAAGGCACTGCTAGCAATGGCTCAAATTTTGTCATTGTTATCCCCAAATTGTCCTTCCAATCCATAGTTTCTCTAGTAACATTTGCGTCAAGTGACGAATCAAATCGGTGAAGCAACATCCCCAATGTAAGATGCAGCATTCTATGAGCCAGAGGAATACCTACACACATTCTTCTCCCAGCTCCAAACGGAATCAACTCATAATTCTGCCCCTTATAATCAGTCTTTGAGCCTACGAACCTCTCGGGCTTAGACGACGTCGGCTCTTCACGCCACACATCTGGATCTCTTCCAATTGCATAAGCATTCACAAACACCTGTGTGTCTTTGGGTACAAAGTTCCCCATGAAACAGGTGTCATGCATTACTCGGACCTACTACTCGAGTGAGCTTGGCTTTCGCCTCAATTAGCGTTGCTGGGTTGCATAACAGCTCGGTCAATGCCCATTCTGTGGTGCTGCTTGTTGTTTCCAAACCAGCCCGAAATATTTCCTGCACCGGACCACACATTTTCAATTTTTCACTATTCAGGCTTTGAGAAGTGAAATGTGAAGGGTAACTACTGTTCTCTTGCGAGATATATGTTTGTTACGTCATAATTGAGGACGAGTATGTATATTGCAAAACTGTGAATCTGGATCGCACATGAACACAAGAATCAACCTAATGAATAGTACAGCATTTTAAAGAAATTTGAAGGTTTAAGGGCTAAAAAGAGAACTTACCGGTACGAAAATAATGAGATCATGATCAGAAATTTTAGCCAGTTCGTCAATTCCGTCTCCTTAAAATTCAAGCAACACATCCAAGAAGTCCATAGTTTTCTCTCCACTTACGTCCCTCTCTTGGATGCGTTCCTTGAAAAACTTAGAGGCAATTTGTATAGCTTTTCCAAGCTCCCTTTTCATCCTCCTCTTCAAGCCTTGCGGATCAAGCCACCTCAACAGCCATGGAAATAAATCTACCACGCTGGCATTCCCGTTCCATTCCATCAGTCCATTCATTGCCTTAAAAACTCCAACCCTTCTTCCGAATTCGGATCCACCAAGTCCCTAGACAACATAAGGTTGCCAAGAAGGTTGAAAGTCATAAGAAACACGAAACGTGCCACGTGAACGGCACGCTCTTCTTCGACTTTAGAGGCTTCCTCTTCAACGCACAGCTGCATGTTTTCTATGCACTTTCTTCGTATGAAAGCAGTCTCGTCGATGCGCTTGTTCGCCACCATCTCTACTGTCACTAACCACCTCATCACGCGCCAGTGTGTGCCGTACGGAGCTCAATGAACCTTTGAGGTAGTCATAAACTCTTGCGGTTTCGTTTATTGTGCGCTCTACAAATGAGAGGTCATGATTCTTGAAAAAGTCTGCAGCTGCCTTGGCAGATTGAATTGACAATGTTTCTCACACCAAGTGTGAGCCAAATTACAGGGCCAAACTTGTGTCCTAGGTCAGTGAGAGTCCTGTGTGGCATTGTACCAAGGTCGAGCATGTTGCCGAGTACAGGCCATCCATTTGGTCCGGGAGGAAGCCGATGGCGACCCAATTTCGATGATCTCCGGCGGATCAAGAAGAGCAGAGCTGGTGAAAAGAAGATGATAAAACATACAAGAAAACTCCACTCGCTTAAGTTGAAGAAATGAAGCATTGTAACGTTTTTTGTCTCCAAAAATCAGCAGTATTGTGTGCAAGTGCAAAGCATGAAGGAAACTTTATTTGTATTTGTATTCTCGTGAGCAGAGTGGGTAAAGTTTTCTCTTAATTTTTAGATAGATCTTAAGGGAAAGTTTAAAAATAATAGCCGTTGGATTAGTGTTTAATTAAGGTAATAATGAGTATTATTGAATTTATTACGATCTGTTCTTAGCTGTGATGCAAATATTTTACTCAGTTTTTAGATTTTGTATTGTTATTTTTTTGTCAAATGATAGATTTATTAGATTAGTTGTTAGATTTGGAAGCCGACGGAGTTCAAACCCATGTTATAGTGTAAGGGCAACACTCTTTTCCACCACTATATTGTTAGTAGATTATGTTAAAAATAACACAATTACTTTAGAGGTTTGAACTTTGAAGTTTTGTTATACATCTACCAACAGGTGATCTTGAAATGGCAACATATAATTGGATATATCCCTTGGACTTTGAGAATGCATTTGGCCATTAAGGACAAGGACAACCCAGCTAACAAAAACAAAAGAGTGCAGAAACATAAAACGATAGTGCAGAAATCATTTTCTCAAGATAGTCCTTGAGATAATATATAATTAGTTATGCAAGTAATGTGACATTTTTTCTTCATTTGTACACATGTGAGATCACTTTGAACTTGATTTTTATTTTTTTTTATAGGTAAGATGGTAACTTATCACCGGTCACATCATTATTTTAACAAATACGATTGTATAATTTGTCATTTAATACTACGGTCTAGTGATATTCATCTTTACTTGTAAGTAAGAGGTATTAGATTTGATTTTCGCTAAAGCCGAACTTGAACCTCATTATTGCTAGCTCATTGTGAGGCTTAGCCCATCCTCCACCTCTTATTGTAACCTATGGCCCGCCACATCATTTGACCAAGTGTTGAGTGACTATACCCAGCACTTTCTAGGCACTGCTAGTAAAGGCTCAGACTTCCTCATTGTTATCCCTAACTTGTCCTTCCACTCAATGTTGCCTCTAGTAACATCTCCACCAAGTTCCCAGTCAAATTGGTGAAGCAACATCCCCAAAGTGAGATGCAACATTGTCTGAGCTAGTGGCAACCCTGCACAAACTCTTCTTCCAGCTCCAAATGGAATGAACTCAAAATCTTGACCCTTTTAGTCCCTTTTCATGCCTATGAACCTCTCCGGCTTAAACAACGCTGGCTCATCATCCCACACGTCGGGGTCTCTTCCGATTGCATAAGCAATCACAAACACCTGCGTGTTTTTTGGTATAAAGTAGTCCATGAATTTGGTGTCCTCCGTAGCCTTTCTTGGTATTAGGAGTGGGATTGGTGGATGCAATCTCAGTGTTTCTTTAATTATACCCTGCAAGTATGGAAGCTTTTCAATATCACCCTCCTCAATCTTTCTGCAGCTTGGACCTATCACTTGAGTGAGCTCAGCTTTGGCCTTGATTAATTTCTCCGGGTTGCATAGCAGCTCGGTCAGTGCCCATTCTATTGTGCTGCTCGTCGTTTCCGAGCCAGCCAGAAATATTTCCTGTTCAACAGAAGTATAAGTTTACGAATTCTGTGGCCACTTTTGAACAGAAAGATTAAGCCGTTTGGTGCATCTAAATCCAAATATGTGTGACAAAGCAAAGTGTCGTTTCAAGAATGCAATATCTGTTGGAGCAATATAAGAAAATATGAAAATAATAAAAGAATTTTAATGATAATAGTCATCAAGTAAATCATAATATTAATTGTGCACAAGGTTAATATAAACTAGAGAGAAAGTAAGAAATAATGATAAACTTGGAGATTGAGGCTTGCATAAATGAAATGTCCTAAAAACAGAATTTTGTCTCTACTTTGTGCTATTAGTTCGGTAGGAGTCCGTCTCTCAGGATTCAACAATCTAGAATCTGAAGTTGAAGCACCGCAATCTTCAGACTTTGGCAAACCTTATATATTCCGTACTCTCAAGACACGATTCAAAATTTGACTAACAATGATAAAAAGACATTGGAGAAAACTCTACTCTTTTTTTTTTTTCTTTTTTTTTTAAAGACAACGGTTTTTAAGCATCTATAGAACCTAATATACAGTATGCCTAAGAGATGTATCTTTTTGGGGTTTAGGTAATTAAGTAATACACTTCAA